GATGGTGTATTTTCCTTGGTTTTTAAACTATTTTGCTGAAATGTATCCACCGAACTTTATATAAGGTAAAATCTAAGCCTTTTCATTGTTGGTTTTATGTCCGTATCCCAGAGAATCTTGAATTTACCAAACAAGGAGCAAGTCTACCTGTCTATCCAAGAATTTCTCGTTCAGCTCTTACAGTTTTAGGTCAACAGCGCCCCCGAAAGGCCTCGTGCACCATGGACGGGACTTTCGGACGGTGATAGAGTCACGGGGCTGTAGCTGACTTGCACTCAGGAGGTGGCATCCGGTCAGAGAGGGCTGATGAAAGGAATCATTATGTCTGCCCAAAGTGTCCCAGTGAAATTAATTTTTAAAAAGAGGCAGGTCCCTCGAGCCTGACCTCAAGGGGTCTGTCGCCCTCTGTGACTCCCCCCTTCTTTCTCTGCTTCCTGGTGGCAGAAAGTTATCTACCATGGACAAGCTGCCATTTCTGTGTTTAAGCCTGCTAAACAGACTAAAACTTCTGAAATGTGACCAAAAATAAACTTCTCCTCCCTGAAGTCTTGGGTGTTGAGTATAGCATCCCAGCAAGAAGAAAGTAACCAAGACAATTTCCTATCCTGATTCCCTTTATTTCTCTCTCACCTAATTGCTCTGGCTAATGCTTCCAGAACTGTATTGAATAGGAGTGGTGATAGTGGACATCCTTGTCTTGTTCCTGACTTTGGAGTGAAGCTTTCAGTTTTTGACTCTTAGTAGGATGTTGGCTGTTGGTTTATCATAGGTGGCTTTGATCAGATTGAGATGAAGACCATCTATTCCAGTTTTTTGCAGGGTTTTTATCATGAATGGGTGCTGGACTTTGTCAAATGTTTTTCTGGCGTCTATTGAGATGATCACTTGTTTTTGTCCTGTTGATCTAGTTTTTTACATTTACTGATGTGCACTGAACCATCCCTGCGTCCCTGAGATGAATTCTCTATGGTGTTGGAAGAGAGAACAGGTAGAACCCTTGAAGATACAGGTGTAGGCAAAGACTTCGTGAATGAAACCCCAATCATACATGAAATAATACGAGGACTCAACAAATGGGATCTCATGATATTAAAAAGGTTTTTCACAGCAAAAGAAACCACCAACAGAGTGAAGAGACAATCCACAGAGGGGGAAAAAAATTTTGCCAGCTCTCACTCAAAGGGATAACATCTAAAATATATAAAGAACTCAAACAAATTAGACTCTGTTATAGTCAGAGTTTACAAGGGAAAAGATTTAATACTGGACACATAATTTATAGGATTATTTTATAATATTCACCAAAAGAGTCAAATGCAAAAGAGTGTGGGAGATCTGTCCACACACTAGAGACCCAAAGAATCCAGCTGAGGGATCTCAGCAATGTCCTGCACAAGTCCAGCTGGAGGCCTAGAGCCCACAACGATGTCTCATGCAAGTCTGTATCAAGGATCTGCGCTGGGAAGCCCCAAAGGTCAGTGGTGGAAGCTAGAAAGTCTGCACCAGCGGGATGAAGGATCTGTGTTAGCCGGCTGAGGGATCTGCACTGGAGCCAGGAAGCAACACTCAAGGTGAAGACCAGAGCTCCCCCAAAGAGAACCACAGCTATCCTCAGCGACAGTGAGGACCCAGTGAGAACAGCCAAGCTCATATCAGGAAAAGCAGCATGACAAGCTTCTCCAGGAGAATCAACAGCACCGTCTTCCCCCTAGTTCCCTTTTCATGCTCTTGGCAACAGTCCTCAGGTGGGCCCTCCACACCCATCTCCACGTTGATTCAGTGTTCAGTGTAGCTGGGTATTACAAGTTGACCATGAGTTAATGCACCACAGACTCCCCAAATTTAAAGACCCAACCCAAAAATCCACATCTGAAATGAATAGACACTTCTTAGGTAAACAAGTATAAGTGGCAAATAAATATATAAGACAGTGTCCAACATCACTGGTCATTCGAGAGATGCAAATTAAAAGAACATGCAAACAAAAAGATTTCATCTCAAGAAAGAATAGCTGCCGGGTGTGGTAGTACATGCCTGTAATCCCAGCACTTGGGAGACTGAGGCAGGAGGATCGTTGCAAGTTCGAGTCCAGCC